CAGTAAAAATTGAAAACAATGTAAATGTCAAACAGGAGTTAAATGAATAGCATTCTGTCTATTTAAATAACTATGCAGATGTTTTTGAAGAATTCTGACAATGGAAAATGTTCACAATATAATTTACATTGACATTTTGACAGTATAATCAGTACATCTCAAAGTATGATCTAAACTGAAATATTCAAAAGGAGTGAAGCATATTGAAATGTTAATGATGCATACACATAGATTATTTTCATTTTTAATTTTTAAACTTATTTTTCTAAATTTAATGCAACAACTTCATAACCCTAGGTGGGCCTAGTAGCTCACACTTGTAATGCCAGTATGCTGGTGGCAAAAGCCAGAGGACTGACTTGAGTTTTAGTACAGCTTGGGATACAAAGAGAGACAGACCCTGTCTCAAAAGACAAACATTTGTAACACTTTATGGCTGAAAGTATGTCCCCATATTTTTCACTGATCACATTAACATGGTGAAAATATTTCTTGATCTGGGGGATGGTTTTCCAAGCCTTGGTACATGCTCCCCCAGTGCCTGATGCTGAGTTTCAGTGATGGCTTCTCTCCCTTTCGGACTCACCTGGTGATGTGGGTTGTCACTTGCTTGTGGAGCAGGTGGCCATCCTTGACACGGGTGTCTGGGGCTTTCTGTGGCTGCTGTTTTCACTGTTCCTGTTGTTCTCACATACATTGGGGCTTTAGGCCCTTTACACTCAACACCAAGCCTGTTAGAAAGTAGGGTTTTAAGAGATGTTGGGGAGGTTGTAATAATTAAGGAAATCTTTCTTTAAAAATGTATACTTAAAAGATTCATTTTTATTTGTGTGTGTGTGTGCACATGTGCCTGCAAATGTGCCACGAACATGCCATTTGTATGTGCCCATAATGCCCAGAAGAGGGCATCAGATGCCCTGAAGCTGAAGTTACAGGCATTTGTGAAGCACCCAGCAAGGGTACTGGGAACCAAACCTGGGTCTTCTCTGAAAGCAAAAAGCACACCTAAATATTGAGCCGTCTTTCCAGCTGTACATCCTTTTTGATGGCAAACGTCAAACCAGATGTCAAGGTCAGTGTCTCCACAGCAAACAGCAATAATGCTGTCCCACTTCCCCTGTGCTCTTTTCCAGACAGGCTGCACAACTGGTAGAGAGCTCGATAGCTAAAAATATAAAGTCCAAACTTCCTTCTCCATGCGTCTAGATCTAAAAATACAAAGGAATTCAGTGATAATGACTCCCAGGTCATCTTGTCCAGATGAGTGACCAGGAATTCTAAGCATGGGTGTGTGTTTGTTCCGTCATCTCTGAAAGAGCAGAGATGACTCAAAGGGCAGGAGGCATACTTGATTTTACAGAATTCCATTTAGTTTTATGCAAAATTATTTTGCAAGCATTTTGCCATCTTGAGTTGTTACAGTTGAGCAAAAGAAGAAAACATCAGAAGAGCAGAGAAGTATGTGCTCACAGAGAGTTCACATTTAACAAGCAGATTAATTCCAGATAGGTGGTGATAATGATTACAAGACACGATGAGAAAATATGGAAACAAGTGATTGTACTGTGGCTAGCCAATTCTGTCAAAGAAGTAGGTGTGGAGGGACAGAGAAAGCAACTTGAGTTTCTGAGTGATGCACTCTGTCCTTGTCCCATCTGAGACAATTTTAACACTTTGGGATTATTTTGTTGTCTTACTTCTGACTGCTTTAACAAAATACTATACACTACCTGTATTAAATAACAGATGTTCATGTTACATGCCTCTTACATGTCTAGAGGTTGGAAGTCTGAGATCAGATGCAGGTAAGAGTTACTTCCTCACCACCTTTAAGTCTTTGTTCATAAAGCTCATCTCACACACATGGTCTCATGAAGAGACATCACAATTTTCCAAGAGCCCTGGAGGTGCTTCAGTACTAAACTAGGGTGCTTTTTGCAACAGTGAGACAACTTTAAAAAGGCACAAAAGTGTGAAAACTCTGGTTCTGAATAGACTGTGTGAAAGACATTTTGTTTACAGCTTGAACGCTGAATAAGGGGGCAAAACCCACCCACAGTCTCACCTCAGCTTGCAAATGCATGTGTGGGCAGCCCTTATGTTTGCCATTCTGCACATATCTGTAAGTGCTGCAGTGGCACCTTGGATATTGATTTTGGATGACATGTAAGATTTTGCAAGTAGGTGAATGTGTAAACACTGAATGTGCGAATGGTGTATTAGCTTTGCTGCATAGACATTCCTATGTTAGTATCATCCCATTCAGCTATCTGGCATATTTCTCTTTTGTTAGGTCTTGTTTTTTGTGCTTAATGGCACAGCATAATTTTATTATACAGGTCTCATATTTTGTTAAACTTGCATGTAGTTTATTTGTAAAATAAGATACATTATAAATGAGAGTTTTATAGAATTTCTAGTGGGTTATTGCTAGATGAGTGAAGAGCTATCAATTTATGCTAATTTATTTTATGTTCCACCATTACTCAAAATCTTAATTCTAGTGTTTTCTGTTAAGTTCCCCAGGGTTTCTTTGGAGAGTAAGTAAGCTGCTGATGCAGGTGATTTCATCTTCTCTTTTACAGTTTTTTAATTTTATTTTCTATTACATTTGCAAGAATGTCTCAAAAAATTTTAATAATGGTGGTGATGTCTGACACCTTACTTCCAATTATGTCCTTATAAATAAAAGTGTTTTTCTTGCTGTTGTGGACAGTCATGTGTAAAGTACATCTACAGCAAAAGGAAGAGGCTTCTTACCATGCAGATTGCTTGCTGAATAATTAAATAAATCCATTATTGCCACTTGGCAGTAACTATTACCTGAGAAGATGAGCATTCCTAGTTTGCCAACTTAATAAATAGAAATATGACTCTGCCTATGATCACATTTGTGAAATTATAACATTCACATTCATTTCTTTCAGGCTGGTCACCAGTCAGAGTTTCTCAACTCATCAGTACCCAGACCAAGTTGAAAATTACACAATGCTATCTTGGGGATTAACCATATTTATTATACCCAGAGAAGACTGGATATAATACAAGGGATTTAAATGCACAGTCCTGGCAATTCTCTATGTTTATCATATCCCCACAAATGTTGTGATGAGCCCACGAAGGACAGGCCAACCCTGTGATGAAGGGAAGAGAGTAAGTCATGGAGAAGTAAAGGGTACGCCTGCTGCTGGCTGAGGACAAGGCTTCTCTGCCTCTGCTTCAGTTCCAATGACCTCACCACCTCATTCCTAACATGCTCACAATTGCTTATGAATTGCAATATTCTCAAGAAGGATGAGAGTAAACTATTAAAATGCTGGTTTGTAGGGTTGGAGAAAGGCTCAGTATGCCAAGCACTTTCCTTATACACATGAGCATCTTTGTTTGATTCCAGAACCCTCATCTAAATAGCTCACCATGGTGACATGCACCTGTAATCCAAGCACTGAGAAAGAGACTGATCTGGGGGCTGCCTGGTCAGCCAGAGCTTTACTTGGCAAATCTCAGGCCAGTGAGAGATGCTGTTTCAAATGGGAGAGGGCAAGGAACTGGAGACCTGGGTTAAGAGCAGGGTTCCTTAAGCAATGAGAGCAGAGGACGAGGGTTCAATTCTCAGCACCCATCTGGCAGCTCACAAACATCACTAACTCTAGTTTCAGGGGACCCAATTCCTCTTCTAGACTGCATGGGCACTAGGCATGAACATAGTGCACAGACATATATGTAAACAAAACACCCATACACATACAAATAAGTAAATACAATTTTTTAAAGAAAGAAAAATGGTAGGCAGTGTCTGGAGAATAATGCTTTGAGCTTTTCTTTCTTCTGACCCCTACATTGACATATGTGCATGCACCGCAAAACACACAAGCATCTGCACACACGTGAACATGCACACACACATATGAGTCTCTCTCTCTCTCTCTCTCTCTCTCTCTCTCTCTCTCTCTCTGTCTTCCTCTCTTTCTCATTATAGTTTACATCATGAGTGGTGGTATACACTGTAATTTCAGCTTTCAATAGGTAAAAGGTGGTTAGTTAAGAGGCTAGCCTGGGCCAGCATGGGATGCCTGTCAAGATAGGGTCTCAAAAAGCAAAACAAGACAACAAAAGAGAACAAAATGAAATGATTATTTGGAAGATAATGGCAGGGGACACTTTTACTATTTGGTGCAGGTGAATATAAGAATGAGAAATTTCATTTACAGCCAAGCCTAGTTTTCACCCATTTTGAAGTGGGAATAGTGTTATTCAAACGGAATCCTATAAGCTTCCCGTTGTCTTTTAGTAGCAAGAGCAACTAACTCGATGGCCACTGGATGGCGCTGTTGCCTTTTAGTTCTCCATAAACCTAAAGGCTGTTTACAGAGGTGAAACACACTTGAATCTCTAGCTTCTTCCCAGCCCATGCAGGGTCTCGTGAATGCTCCAAGCACCTAGAAAAAGCAACTTTTGAGTTCTCAGAGCTAAATGGGTCCTCTGTATCTCCGTCTCCAAGGCTCCGGGAAGCAGAATGGAAGGAAAAGCAAAAGAAAGGGATGAAGCGTGTGGAACACTGTCTTCCGGGCTTGACAGCCTGCTCTTTTGCACTCTCATCCCCGTGATACCTGTTCAGGACCTACTCAAGATCGCCCCCAGCAGCATCTTATCCCGGGGGAAGAGGGGCTCTTGAGGTCCCATACCTCCCTGAAGATGTATGTTCAGTTAAAAGTTCCTGGGGGGCTGTGAAGAGAAAGAAGAAAAGAAATGCCGATGTGAAAGGAGGAAGACACGAAGGCAGAAGACAGACTCTGGAAGAGGAAGGGGCCAGCAGGAGAGGGAGGGAACAAGGGAAGGTAATGGGTGAATGTGGTCAAAACATATAAATGTATGAGGATGCTACCAAAATCCGTTATTCTGTATGATTAATAAATATACGCTTATAAAAAAACTTAAGAGAGAGAAAACCTGCAGCTGTAATCTGTGCTGGCTGCAGACCCAGCATCCAGGCCACACACCTGGCCTGCGCATGGCTAGCTGTGTCTCTTGGAGCGAGCTGGCCCAGCAGCCGCTGTCTCCCCATGGCTCCTGTCCTGCTGCCTTTCTGGGGCAGGCTGCTTCTGAGGTTCCTGAAGAGGAGTTTTGTGTTCTCCTTTGCTGACATCTGTGGACAAGAACAACTTTAAAAGAGGCTCCAATGGGCAGACAAGATGGGTCAGTGGGGACGGGCACTTGCTTCTGAGCCTGACCAAGTTTGATGCTCAGGACCCATATGGTGGAAAGGGAGAACCAATGCCCACAAACTGTCCTCTGGCTTCCACATGTTGGTTATATGCACGCCCGCACACAAGTGAAAAATGTCATCAAATCAAGTCCATAAAAAGCTTAGAGACATCAGATCAATTTAAACACGGCCTTCATTCCTTACTGTTGGCCCATGATGGATGTGACGCCATTTCTTCTGTTTTTGAAGCATTGGAAAAATAATCTCCCTTGCTTCTAGAGTTTCTTCATACCATTTATGTATAAAGCCACACATAGAACAAGTCTCAAGGTTGATGCCCCCAAATGCTTCTTAAAGAGACTGGCAATTCTAAAACTGTAGGAAGGAACCACCGTGCACTGAATTTATGGTCGTTCACATTTGTGGATGTGGGTTCCTTTAAGAACAAGGTGACGCATTGTGGATTCATTTCCAGGAACATCCCTCCAAGTTTTACTACTGTATACAATTGCAGTAGGTAGTGAGTCACCTGAAACCCATCCATCTGGCCCACCCAAGGAACTTCAGAGAAAATAAACAAAGATGTTCAATTTGAAGGTGTCTAGCTCTTGGAAATTAAAGTGTATTAACAAGATGACCACACGGTGTCACTGTAACACCACCAAGTCACAAGCTTCCGGGCTGGAGAGGTAAACCACAGGCAATGAACCAGCACTCAGTTGCTGCAGTTTAGCAAGGTATTTGGCAAAATTCAGGTGCTTGCCTTTCCTGGAGGGACCTTGATGTTGAAGAGAGAACTGGAAGTCTGTCCTTGGTGAAAGCAATCCATCTGCAGCCTTCACTACAGTGGTATTTGAGGTGCTCCATTTTATAGATTCATCTGAAATTGGTAGTTAATAAGACAACAATTTTCCACTCTCGGTCGCCCTAACTACCACCCACCCCTAGGAATAACTTTTGCTTTCTATTTTGTTTCTCCTTAGAACTAAATTAGCTTGTTGATTACTAATACATTTCTTTAAAAGAATCCCAAGTTACAAAGTTTTGCTTTTTCAGTGAAAACCTAGATAATGTTTTTCTTCTTATACCAAATCAACACCCCTTTGTTCTCATCCATTTAGTTTTCAATAACTGTCCCCTCTAACTTTGGCAGGTGTTTACTAGTGCATAGTATGAGATCGATGATCTGACTATAGCCTATTAAGCCTTTTTTTTGTTTCCAAAAGCATTTATAAAAACCTGCCATGTAAACAAAGCCCATTTATTTTTAAACTCTTAGCATGTGTCAATCATAAAAAACAATGAAAGTCATTATGACATTTTTCCTACAGCATACTCTACCCTTCCATCATAGGAGAGCTCAGTCATACAGAGAAATGTTGAAGGTTGAGCCCACATTTTCCAGTTCTAACTGTTAACTGGTGGAAGGAAAGGGTTTCTTCATAATATGCCTTCTAAGGACTGGGGTAGTGAAGATTTTTGTCATGCTGCCTTAGATGTTACCTGGACACAGTCCTTCATCACGGTGTGTGACTTCTGGTGGGATTTCCTGTGGAGACCAGATAAGAAACACAGCTGGCAGATGTCAAAGTTGAGACACTTCAGACAGCGGTATCTGCCAAAAAGAGATGGAAGTACAGCTTATGTCATCTCTGGTAGGAGAGCAAACAGAAGAAATTCAAGTGATGAGCACCCTCACACATACAGGTGGTGTCTGGCCTTATGGTGGTTGCAACTTGCCTCTCAAAGCTGACAGTTATCACATAACCCATGTGCTTACTTGTTCAAAGAAACCAGAACCATATCTTAATTGTGGGGGGGGGGCATGGCAAATGTGTGGAGGTCAGATGAGAACTTTTGGAAATTGATTCTCTCCTTCCACACCAGTTATGGAGAATAAACTCAAGCGGTCATGCTTACAGACCTAAAGTTATGGAGACCTTAAGTAGTAGAGCCATCTCATCGACCCTTGATGGAGCTTTTATAGGACACTATATTCATTCATCTTTACCCAATAAATTATGTTCTAGAGAGCTAACTTGCAGCCCTTCATGAAGCACTCAAATCTTTAGAGTGTATCTTCCAATTAAAAAAAAAAAGTGTGGCATTTTTCATAGAGTTGAGTTATGGATTCTCTTAAAAAATTACAAGGTGTGATAATCTTGAACCTGAATTCCTGGTGCTGGGAAAAAATTAAATCATAGATACAGGATTTCAAAACAAGGCCAGGCTTTTTCTTACAAGACTGTACATATGGAAGAAAAGATGGAGTAGGTTTCTTAGCAGCTGGGAGCGTCTTGAGCAATTCACCTGTTTCCTGACACGTTAACACCGTAGAATTTTTTTCTTAATTTCTGGATCTTAAAGCTCCTTGTGTTCAGAAGAAGAGAAAAATGCAGAGGCATGCAGTTAGGGAGAGATCTCTCCTGACACCTAGGAATACTGTGGTGCTGAAGGGACAGCCCCTGGTTAATAATAACGTCATCATTCCTGGCTGTATTAGTGACAGCCATTGTACTGGAAAGGCAAGCTCTTGCTGTTTGGCCCATAGTAGGTAGTCAGTGAACGTGAACTTAATGAAGCTAAATTAACAGCCCAGTTTTTTACAGAAGGACAATGGAACTAATAAACACCACCTTCTTTGCCTTGCAAAATTTGTGCATAGTTTTGAAAATTAATCAATGCATCTAAGCGGGGAAGCACCCACCTTCTTTTTTTTTCCGAGACAGGGTTTCTCTGTGGCTTTGGAGGCTGTCCTGGAACTAGCTCTTGTAGACCAGGCTGGCCTCAAACTCACAGAGATCCGCCTGCCTCTGCCTCCCAAGTGCTGGGATTAAAGGCGTACGCCACCAACGCCCAGCTGGCACCCACCTTCTTAATACAGTGTGCAAGATGGAAAAGCCTTGTCTCTAATGAGGATTACTGGATGAGCTACCCATGCTGGCAGTTTTGTCCATCCTTCTAGACAGCTACAGTCGACTCGTTTGAACAATATGCTAACTACCCTTAAGTGTATTCCTCTGTGTTCTGAGGCCACCTTTAGATTCTCAAGAAAGGCTGCTGAGTGGATACTACACCTGGCTTGTTAATAATTTTACCAAATAGAGAACACAAGAGTTTTTTCACAATCTCATCTCAGTCTTACGGGATTTATTTATTTGATAGAACATAAACGATAACCCACCTATGACTTAATTCTTGGAGTAAGGACAATTTCTACTCTTTATGCCTTCTCCTCCCCCTGTGCACACGCGTGCACTGTGTACATGGAGACTAGAGGCTGCTGTGGGATGTCTTCCTCAGTGGTAAGGACAATTTCTACTCTCTATGCCTTCTCCCCCGATGTGTACTGTGTACATGGAGGCTAGAGGCTGCTATGGGATGTCTTCCTCAGTGGCTCCTCCATCTTTTTGAGAAAAGGTCTCTCACTGAGTCTGACTCTGACTCTTTCCTCTAGACTGTCTGGTCACCAAGCTCTAAGAATCCTCCTGTCTCTGTTTCTAGTCCTGTTTCTTCCATTGATTCTGAGGAATAGAACTCGGGTCTTCATACGTGCACTGTAAACATTTACAAACGGAGCCATCACCCAGCCCCTTTTCTTCCCATAGGAGGTTGAGCCTTGCACTCTTCCTGTGTCTTCTGAGCTCTGTGGCTACTTCTGCTCTCTGGCTAGACTATCAGTCTTCTGGGAACCAAAGCAGTTGCTTGAGCTTTGAGAGCCAAACCCACAAGTTTAAGACTGAGGCTGTAATATATCCACACAAGTTTTAAGAGACATCACTAAAGGAAGCCGGAGACATCCCCAGAGCATATTTCCTTAGTTTGCTTTGCCTTAGTTGTCTGGGAGGAAAGATAGTTCACCTCTTTCTAAGAAGTTTAACTCGTGCCTACAATCCCATGGCCACAGAGTCTGGGAAACAGAACCTTAATTCAATGGCTGATGGAAGAAGAGACAGACTCCCACAGCTAAACACTGAGCTGAACTCAAGGAATCCAGTGACAGAGAGGGAGGACTAATGAGCAAAGGGGTTAAGACTGGACTGATTTAACCCCCAGAAACAGCTGACCTGACAAGGGTTAGCTCTTGAATCCCAGACTGATACCTGGGAATCTAGCATGGGACTGATCAAGACCCCCTGAATGTGGGTGTCAGTGAGGAGGCCTAGGGAATCTATTGAGCCTTGGGCAGTAGATTAGTATTTATCCTGGATATGCAAATGGACTTTGGGCACCCATCTAACAATGAGAGATGCACTCTCACCCTGGACTCTCAGGGGAGGGTCTAGGCCTGCTCTGGATGAAATGACAGATTATGGACACCCCCATAGTGGGCCTCACCCTCCCTGGGGAAATGAGGGGATATTGGAGGGGCTGGTGGGAGGGTGTGGGAGGAGGGGAGGGAAAGGGAGAGGGACCTGTAATTGACATGTGAAGCAACGTTGTTTCTAATTTAAATTAAAATAAAAAATAGAAATAGAGTAGCTGGGTATGGTGGTTCATGCCCAGTACTTGGAGGCAGAGGCAGGCGGATCTCTGATTTCAAGGCCAGCCTGGTCTACAGAGGGAGTTCTGGGAGAGCAAAGATACACAGAGAAACCATGTTTCAAAAAGCCAAAACTAAAAAAGAGAGTAATAAAAAAGTGACATAAAGAAGGAGAGTACACGGAGCGTCTGGATACTGTATGTTATTGTGTTGTCTTTGAATTGTTTGACTCCTGAGGAAGGAGCAATAGCTCCTAAAAGACATTTGAGTATAAATTCTCCTGGATTAACCCAATCTATATATTTTGAAAATGCCTTGACTTCAAAATTTAAGTAAAAATATATGTTACTTCGGAAAAAAAAGAAGTTTAACTCAACAGAGAACAGCATGTTATACAGAAGTCTGACATGCTCTATGCAACACACTGTTGTTTCTTGGGTGGCCTGATCAAGTCACTTAAAATCTTTGATACTTAATGCTATAAAGCGATGATTTTGAGGAAATAAAAAACTTATTTCAATGTAAAAGTTGTACTTTCAAAGTCATTCTGTTTCTGGCTTAGACACAAGGAGGTTATATGAAGAATGCCTTTCTGTGAAATATTGGTTAAATTATTATATATACACATTGTGATAAACTCACATTCCTTAACTGTACATCATAAAAAAAGATTTTCATTACTATAATATGAACGTTCCTTGGTCCTGCTTGCTTGTTTTCCATTGGCATGGTTTATTGTTTCAAGTTGTTACCTGCAAAGAGGTTTTATGACTCAAATTTTGTTGCACTTTCCAAATCTCCTGGAAACTCAATTCAGTTTCTCAGCGAAATTTAAACTTGATTTCCAGATTGTTAGCAGGTCCAGTAGACCTGTTTTCTGCCTGTGGAAATGTACTTAATGTCTATACTAGTGAGGATCAGGAACTACAGGAAAGGAAGTGGGACAAAGTGTGAAGTCCTAGCCCTAAGGGCTCCAACCTCCTCCCCTTCCAGCCCCTGTTCCGTGTTGTTAGCTACTGAACATCTTAGAGTTTCACCTCGTCCATAAGTCATGACTCATGGCTTGCCCATGCCTGCTTAGACTTCTCATTTCTCTCTCTTCAAAACTCTTAACAGTATCGCTAATTTTACTTTCTTATTTAATGTATGGGAAAACCTACATCCCAATCAATCTTTCTTTCTTCCTCTTTTCCTTCCTTCCTTCCTTCCTTTTTTTTTTTGTTTTTCAAGACAGGATTTCTCTGTGTAGCCTTGGATGTCCTAGAACTAGCTCTGTAAACCAGGTTGTCCTCGAACTCACAGATATCCATCTGCCTTTGTCTCCCATGTGTGGGGATCAAAGGCTGTACCACCATTGTCTGGTGGCTTAACAAACTATTTTTGTGGGTAGCTCCAAATTATTTAAAATGTTTATTTGGAACAGAAGACAACTGTTTTATACCTTACAGCAGGGTTCTCAACCTTCCTAATGCTGCAACCTCTTAATACAGTTCCTCATGTTGTTGTGATGCCCAACCTAAAATTATTTTGATGCTACTTCATAACTGTAATTTTGCTACTTCTGTGAATTGTAATGTAAATCTCTGATATGCAGGATATCTGCTATGTGGCCCTTATAAAAGGGTTGTTTGACTCCCCAAAGGGGTCGAGATTGCCTTAGATGTACAAAACCATGGCTACTTCAGGATGTGAGTCAGTGGAAGAATTTAATATTTCATTGATTACAGGAAATAAATTAATTTTCAACCAGGGTATCTCAAACAGAGAATTATTAAGCTAAAGGGTAATGAGTTCCAGATGCATAGAAAGTCTGGAGTTATCAATGTAGTCCCACCATTGAGCCTGTCTGCCAAATGACCAATTGGGGAATATGATATTGACTGTACCTCAGTCCTATGATTGGGAAGGTTCGGCATATGCTGCACCTCACAGGGTGAGTGAGCATTTCTGAGGCAGACAGTCGGTAGCAGGTCGGGAGCCATAGAAGAATCAGAGGCTCAGACTGTACCCAAGACAAGAATTTCTCCTCCTTGATTCCAGAGCTCAACACCTGGGAAAGAAGAGTAGGCTGAGATACACTTTCAGGCAGACACATTTTCTTTCCCTCTGGTTCTGTCTGTTCCGCTAAGGCAATCAGAAAGCTGGAGGAAAGGCTACCTCCAAACTCAGTTGTCCTGGAACCTGCATGAAGTCTAATTTAAACAAACTCTTCAAACATCTGCACCAGTTCCCAGGGACGTTTTTATGTTACTCACCCCTTGGAAGCAGCTGTGGACAGCACTTTCCACAGGACACAAAGTGCAGCTCTCTCCCACGACAGTCGGTATCTGCAAAGGCAACCTCATGTTAGCTGTTGAATGGACTTAGTGTGCCTGAATAATGGAGGTCATGCGTGTTAGTATTCAGACATCTGTACTGGCCTGTCCTTGGGGTTCTGACAGGATATGCCCTAAGCTGCAGTCACTAAGAGCACTACCTGTGCATTGTCACAATGTTTCCTTTTAAAAGGGCCCTGCCCACCTCCCATCCTCCTCTCTGTTTCTCTCCTCTCTGTTCTGCTCTCCCTCTCCCTCTTCCCCCTCCCCTGCTCTCCTCTCTCCTGCTGCTCCCGTTCTGGAAGCTGAGCTCCTTACTCCCCTTTCTCCTTTTCATGATCCCTTTCCCTAATAAAAAACACTCTGCTTGAACCGTGTTGCATGGTATCTTTGTCTCGAGCACACTGCTTTTCTTAAATTACAACAACACAAGCAACAAATATTGGACATCTGAGAGAAGACAAACCAGTTCAATCAAAACAGAAAGCTTCAGGTTTTGTGTCATGCTTGAGTTGGAACGATGAATAAAAAGCCTGGAGGAAGACCACAGAAGGAAGCCACTGAGGCAGCAAAGGGACGATGACTGCTGTCTGACTTCTTAGGATCCCAGGCAGATCATTTTAATCTTTCTTTTATCTGTTTCCTGATGGAGGTCACAGTGACACTGCTTTCAAGTTCACAGTGGCTTTAGGAAATATCTTGTCAAGTATTTTCACATCGTCTCGTTTGAATACATGCCAATTCCAATACTTGTTTTGCCTCTATGTCAAAATATGTGGCATAGAGAATGTCAAAGAGGAGAGATTAGGGTTGGCTTCTGGTTTAAGTCCATGGCTTCTGGGCTGTGGTAAGGTAGAGAATCAAGACAGAGGCTGTGTCAGGGCAGACCTCACGGTGACCAAGGAGCATAGGGACAAGAGGCCCATGGGAAGAGATCTCTGATGAACTAGTTCCTTTAACTAGGCCCTAAATATGAAAGTTTCTACCAAACAATCCGTTCAAAATCTATGTAAGCCAACAGTTATATCAGAGTCTTCGTGATCCAGTCACTTCTCAGTGATTGGATCTACCAGCTTTCAATTCAAGAGTTTTTTGGGGGACATTTCATATGCAAACCATAACTCTAGTCTTTGAAGTGAGGTGGCATCATCATTATTGAAAGGAGGGACTGACAAGAAGTGAAGTCACTATGTCAAGAAGAGATATACACATATTCACTGAAGCCTTATTCAGGACAGCCAAGATATAAGACCAAACTAGGTGTTTGTTGACATTAATTAATGCTATCCAGCATTTAAAAATTGGGAATCCTGTCATTTGCTGTAGCATGGATGAACCTGGAAAATATGTGCTAAGTAAAATTGAAATCAGCCATATACAGAAATATTGCATATCTCTCTAACATGGGGAATCTAAATGAGATGAATTTATAGAAACAGAGAGTAGAATGTGGGTTCTTGGAGTTAGAGATAGAGTGGGGAAATCAAGGAGATGTTGCTCAAAGAGTATAAACTTACAATTTATGATGATTAGATATTTTTGGATCTATCACTCAACACAGTGACGTCATCTTGCTCACTTGACATTTGATATGAGATCAGGTTTTGGGTATCCTTATCTATACTCACTCACCAATGGTGATTGTGGGCATAACAGATGTGCAAGTTACTTGACTGTGGCAATCCTGACATAGTGTACACCCATGTTACCTGTGACAAACTATGATGTAACATCCCTCCCTCCTTCTCTTTTTTACTCCTCTATTTATTCTTTTGAAATAGGATTTTGCAAGGTTGGTCTCAAACTCCTGAGTTCAAGTAATTCTACCACCTCACCTCTAGAGTAGCTGGAACTATAGGCATGTACACACCACACCACACTTAACATCTTTCGTACATATAATTTTTGTTAAATGTTTTTAAAACTAAATAGATCAAGGGATCACTGAGAGATGATGACAGTTTGCTCAAGATAAAAAAAGCAAGTTGTTGCATGATTTGGGTCTCACTCTGGAAGTCCCCCCTCTTCATTAAGGGGACAAAGCTTATTAGACTTTATTTATTTTTTCCAATGGCTCAATTATCCCTGCATTCTATCATTCAACCACATTTACTTCTGGAGGTGGGGTGGGGTACCTAAGGGACTCTTGTGACTTCCAAGACGGTGATGGATTTGATTCTGGTTTCTGTATGCACAGATGTGTGGACCAGTCACCTTCACTTATTCACGTTTGGACAGGAGCCCCAGTTTCACATCTGATGCCTCACCCAGTACAGGCTTTAGACATACTGTCTGTAATTGCAACGACCCCATGCTGGGTCCATCAACTCAAATAAACATCCTCCTAATCAGGAAAGTGGCACTTAGAGCCTCTTTGCTGACAATTAGCCAGATAGAAGTCAACAAACATTTCCATACTAGTAACAAGATGGTTTGCGCTTTAAATTGATAATAACCCTGTTACCAATAGAAAATAAGTAATTACTCCCTATGTTACTAAGTCAACAACAACAACAAGCCAACAAATCATTTCCCATCTCTAAACTTTTGAATACTGATGAACTAGCTGGGCCACTTATTAAGAGATTGCTGATTCAACATTCTCCCTCCTCCGGTGTGCTTACCCCTAAAGAAAAAAGGTCTCACAATTCACAAGTGAAACATGCCGGTAGAAGACCTGGGATCACCAGCTCTTGTGCTTCTGATACTAGTAAAAGGAAAGTTCCCCACTGTAGTGGGATTTAACCTGATATTTCTCCTTTAAATATCTACATAAAGTTTCTGTGAATTAATTGCCTATTTGGCTAATTTCTTGCAGGTGTTCTATCGAGAAGAATTAAATGTGATTAGATAGCATGCTGGCATGGACAGAATGGCACTTGAAATGATCATTAGCATTCCTAAGGGATGATTTGAATCACATAGTGAGGACTGGAAATTTCTATGGAAGGAATCTATCTTTGATTCCATAATGGAAGTCAACGGGATGATAATTTGCTATGCAAATCACAGATCTCTTTCCCCATAGCCTTCTCAGAAGCTTGCTGATGCTCACTGGTGGAGAAAGAAGAGGTTGTGGTAGCCAACATTTCAGCCCTCATTGACCTTGATTGAGTTTGAAATGAGTGGATTTTAAAAGTCCATTTAGACTAGTGTTAACTTAGAGCCATCAATAGTACTCAGGAAGCGAACATAAGGAATTCTAGAGGAGAGGGGAAATGTCACTCTGGTCAGATCCTTTTTATCATATCCATATTGAAATTGGCTACTGTTATCAGTCTGGTAGGATACATGAGTGAGCAGCCTATGCCTCTCCTGGTTTTCTACCTGCTTGAGTTCTGAGGATGTAGTTGTTGGGGAGGAACAACACCAATGGTGTTTGCCCGAGACATGCCTCAGACAGCAGAAAATCTTCAGTAGATCTATGTGCTGTCAGAAGCATCAGAACAGCATTGAAGTATTTATAGCTAAACCTGGCATTCTTGAATCAGGCTGTACAGCATAGAGTTCAGAGCTCGCAGCTGATAACTGTGCAGAGCTGCATTAAACCAGGTTAACGTGAAAACTGGCCCCTGCTCTTTGGATTAGTTTGCTTTTCTGTTGCTGTGATAAACACCATGTTCAAAAGCAACTTGGGGAGGAAAGGTTTATTTACCTTATAGGTCCCTAATCACAGTCCATCGCTGAGGGAAGCCAGGGCAGGAACTCTAACAGAAGCAGAATGGGGAATCATGGAGGAAAGCCACCTACTGGATTGTTTCCCATGGCTTGATCAGCCTGCTTTCGTACAGAACACAGGTCCACCTGCCCAGGTTGCATCTACAGTGGGCTAGGCCCTGTCCTATCAATCATTAATTAGGAAAATGCCATACAGACACACTCACATGATGGAGACATTTCCTCAATTAAGGGTCTCTTCTCTCCAGTGAGTCTAGTTGTGTCAAACTGACACAAAATGAGCTCAGTGTGCTCTTCCTTCTTAATCTTTTTGGCTGAAAGAAGTCTTTAGAGCTTCTCCTTCACTGACTGCAAGAAAACCCTGTCCACTGTGTGGTTCCCAGGAGAGAAGAGGGAAGAAGGCATACCTTTGGACCATGAAGACCCTGCCCAGAGCACCAACACCATCCTTTTCCTTCCATAAAACCATGCTAAAACCTCACTAGATAGATTTGAGGCAAAGAATCTCCTCTGCGTTCCTCAGAGATGACTTTGAATAAAGCTGTTTCCTTCTAACAATCTCTCTCTCTCTTCTCTCTCTCTCTCTCTCTCTCTCTCTCTCTCTCAACAGTAAACATTATGAACTATAGATTATGGTAACAAAAGAAAAAATAAAAACAAAAACAGGACCTTTTTGAAACCAGTTTGGATCAATGCGACCAGTCAAGATGCATGCTAGCTGTCCTTTGCTTATTATGACATTCCCATATCATTACCCTTGCATAACTACATTTCCCACCATGTATCTGATGTCATGACACATCTGAACACTCCATATAGGAGCATAAAAATAGACCCTACTCTGGGAAAACCCAGACTAATCCTATAAACTGTCCCTTTTATCCACCTTAGTTTATGAATTATTTTCAATTTATTGGGTTTATCTGCAAGATGTGGCTGTGTGCACTATTGCTTTGCAATTAAAACCATTTCCTAATTCCTTTGTCTCATAGCTCAATCATGTCTCTGTGAGTGACAACATCTATGGCCCTCTATCACTCCCGAGATCCCCCCTAACCGTCACTGCCAGCAACATTTTAACCTTACGGAAAAATTTAAAATCTGCTGTCAACTCTGGTCAGACAAGCTTCTTTTTGCAATAGTCAGCAGTGACTGCAGAGACCCATAATTGGCCAAAGTGCAGAAAATAAATGGCTGTTGAGTACCCAGCCGTAAATGGGACATCTTTATTACCTCCTCCTCAAGGTTCAGGGAGCATCACAAAAAATACAAGAGCTGAAGGCAACAGGGCGAGATGTGTGGAATGCTGATTTCTGGGCACTGCAGGGCTGCTG